CATTCCTTGGTTGCCCAGGGCAGCTGGGCCATCTAGTCTTGAGGAATTCTGTTTTGCAAGATGAAGTCTTCGAGTACGGAACAAGGCGAGACGGTGAAGATGATGCAGTGGCGGATCTAGGCATCGGTATCACGCGTTTAGGTATCCCGATCAACGTCTCACAGAACCATCCTCCCGATCACAGCTCAAATATCAACCAGGAATCCATGAGAACACCATTGAAATCGATCATCCCTTTCGCAACTTATACAATCCTCAACAACTCATCTTTAAATGATCTCTTAACTTCAATCGATCGAACTCATCTACAAAAACTTCGAAAAGGCCTTAGACCAGATTGGGATCAATATTTCATGACCTTGGCCAATTTGGCTAGTTTAAGAAGTAATTGTATGAAACGCAGAGTAGGCGCTGTCTTGATTACCAAGAGAGATAAAAGGGTGTTAAGTACTGGTTACAATGGTACACCAAGAGGAATGAGTTGAGCCTTGATAGCTCATTTGGGAATCTATCGATCAACTGCTTTGCTGATTGTAAGAGTGTTTCTCTTTTGAAATTAGCAAATTGCAATGAGGGCGGGTGTGCGAGATGTAATGGAACTTTAGGATCAGCCAACCCTCAATCGTCTAGAAATTCCGACCTCAAAGTTAGAACCGCCGCCGAGGTAGTTTCAAAATGTGGAACAGATCTCAATGAATGTCTATGTTTACATGCAGAAGAGAACGCATTACTAGAGGCTGGTAGAGATCGAATGGGTGCAGGAGAAGGAAGTACTTTGTATTGTAACACGTAAGTTTGACATATGTCATACTCCATTCCCATCTATGATACCTTTTTAGCTTCACAACTCGGATAACCTGAACGCGCGTGATAGGCTGACAACTCGCAAACTGCCATTGATGATAAAAACACAGATGTCCTTGCCTACGATGCAGTGTGAAGATTGTACAATGTGGAGTTAGAGAAGTCGTTTATTCATTTAGCTATAGCATGGATATTGGTACAGCTGCTGTGTTTGCTGAAGCAGGCGTTCAGCTGCGTCAAATATCTTTACCGTGATTTGCTGACAATCAGAAGAAAGCTGTGGTATGTCAAGATAGATTGATAGAATTCAGTCAAGATAGAGTAATCCAGAATTGCATCTGATTTCACATTGCTTCACACAAGAAAATGATGTGGAATTTAGCCATCTGGTCTGATGACCCTGGATTGCTACTTTTTTCAAGTAAGAGTACCAAGTCATATTTTGACAGATCTTTACCAAAACAATTTGGTAGCATCTCTCATTCTTGTACTTACAAAAATTCCTGATTCTTTGCAGGTACACAAAGTCCGCAGCTGGTATGTCATCTGTCCAACCCAAGTTGATCAAAAACTGATGATTTGTAGGGTCAGTAAGGGAGTGAAAGTAAAGACTACTATTTATGAACACTTCCCATTGCGAGTCTCACCTGTTCAAGATCTGAATAGCATAATCAAACTGAAGTCCATTTCCACAACAGGACCCTGGAGATCTGGCAATCAAAGAAAATAAAAGGCTTGGGGTCTTTTGGCTGGAACCAAAAAACAGTTTTTGGTCAAAAACACCACCAAAGCCAAAAGCCATCTTTGGGTCAAAACTGTTTTAATTTTTGACAAAAACACTGGTGTTCAGCAACTTCATTTGATCAAAGACAAAAACCCTCCAAAAACTGTTTTGGCCCCTCTCCCCCTTCAAATGCAGCTTCAAGTCAAGGAATCACATCCTGTTCTCTCATCTGTTTTTTTAATTGCTGTGAAACAGATATTTCCTGTTGACCGAATCCAGCAGTACCAGGTTGAGACATATCTCTCCTCCACTTGTTCAGACCAGCACTGGGGATTTGGAAAAAAGGGTGAGATGTGGTCAAGTGTTGGTTCTGGTCCTATAATTAGATTGTTGGATGAGGGTATGTACAATAGATATCACATGGACTTCTAAAGTACAATCCTTAGCTGTGACATGTAATGTGTATCCAAGTCTTTCACACGCTCTACAGTTATTGGAATATGACTCCACCTATCTTGTATCATGGCCATCATAGATCACCTCTTGTTGTAGTAGTACCATCTTCTCATAGTTTCCTTGTTTAATCCTCAGTGTATGATGCTTATCTATACAAAGGCGTTGTGGCTTCCTAACAATGGATTTGTCAATTTACTTTCTACCCATCCTTGTCCCAAAGATTGTGAGTAGATCACAATACACAAAACGTAAGAAATAGAAGAATATTTGCAAGACTTCCAACAGACAAGAATGGTATGATAAAGTTTTACTCAAAAAAGCAAAAGAAAAATAGAAGCCCAAAACTGATTTGAAAGTCAGGGAAAATTACCCGCAAGTGTTGATGAACCAACAAGAACATAGTTAACCAAGGCTCATGCTAGTCTTGTGCATTTTCTTATTCAATTGTATAGTCAAATTCAACAAACCAATTTTTTTTGACAAAAAGTATCAATTCTGCAACTATTCTTTTTCATCAAATCCTTTTTGTGTACATGTGAAACCAAGCATATGATCATGACCAAGAAAAAAATCTTGTATTGAAGGGTATCAGTTTTCCCAAGTATTTGTCATCTCAGAGGTTTGTGTAGTATACTATAGTTTGGGCTTCAAACAAATTTATAATTTTGGTGATTTCACAATCAGTCAGACTTACATGCAAAATGGTGCATACACTTTGATGCAGAAAAACACTTACTGAATTTGTAGATCCACATTACAAATCTTGCTCTCTGTTCTTTCAAATGTGATCATAGCAAAATATGTCTCATACTGCCATCTCACCACACAGGCACTAGGCGTCCTGAATATCTCTATGTTGGAAAAAATGATATCAAACCACTCTTTAACCATTTTGATGACAATACAAGCATCTATTGCAGGCTTACCTTGGCTTTGTATCAATCCATTGAGGACCTCCTGGTTAGGGGCTACATAGTAGCCACGTTGTGCCAAGTACTTAAAATCTAGCCATTAGGATTCATACCCACAAATGCAATATGTATGCAATCAGCTTACAAAAGACACCATCACAAGGGGATTTTATCATTTTTTTTAAAAAAATTGTAGAAAACTCACCATCAGCATGATTTTTCCCCATGTGCCTATACATCCAGCTAGTCGCGCCCCTTCTTTTTTTTTTTTTTTTTTTTTTTTTTTTTTTTTGTTTT